AGATCGACTAGACTTCTCCGTCACCAACACTTATAACCCTCGCATCCGCCGAAGCACTTGTAAATTAGCATCCTAGCACACGCATTTTATACTGCCTTGTTTCTACACTCTCTGCATCACACTTTTTAACATCTACCAAATTTTCGCGGAACTTCTACGACACATATTGACATAACTGACGCCACTTCGCTTCTAAGCAACCCTTGGAAACGAAAACCATCGATAGCCTTGCCAGGGAAAGCTTGCCATCGCCATACCTCCTGGGTTTTCTGATTACCTCTGTCTCTTGTACTAGTGGGTTAGGCTTGGATTTTCTACACAAAATACTGTTTTCCATGATGACAGCCGAAGATGGTGAGCTTGTTGCTACCATAGTGTTGGTACCTTAAGTTCAAATCATTACGCAGTCTTACCAAGACAGAAAGTCAACCCCAATGATTAGCAGTTTTGCCTAACAGGGCAAATTGGTGCAAAATCAGGGAGGTTTCCACTTTCATTGCAAGCAGCATTCGGGAGAGAGTTTTTCAAAAAAGCCAGTGATACGCTTACAAGCCGATACCCGTTGTCTCATGTACTACCATTTAGAACACCTCCAGCGGTGTCTGCACTTTTTATGCTGAAAAAAATGAAGGCCGTTTTAACTTCTTGATGGTGTACAGTTTTTACCAATATCTTTTTTTTAGCGGTGCAAGTGCCTGGTGGGGGTGGCGAGATATACGAAAATCTCGGGGCCACTGTCGATCATGGCGCAGAACCGCAGAATGATACTACCATACAGATGGTACTTTTCACTTCTAGCACTAGTGCCAAGAATGTCGAAGTCGTCAAAGCAATCGGTGAATGAATCTCACGTTAGTGATATTACTGGAATGAACCTGCACATGTCAGGCGCAGCTGCATCGGGCCCTTCGATCCTAAGCTACTCCCATCCAAACACCCAGTTGGAATCCACCGCTTTTTCGAAGTTTATGTGTTAACTCTTCGGAAGCTGTCCAAACAGCTGTTTACTTTCTGGTGAATACCTCTTACTGATACGCATAGCATTTACAGTTCGTAGGAAAAGTTAGTAATAATCAGTGAGAGTAACAAAGGCGTAATTTGAAAGAGAAAGGCATCGCCTGAAGTTTCAACAAAGAAATCAATAATTCTTTGTTTGTTCGAGGTATGTGCCCAATTAATTTTTTACCTGGTTTGCCTGGAAGAATTGCTGGATAGCAATCTGAATCCCTATCTCTCCAGCTGGCACTTTTTTCACCAACTACAGTTCTTTTTTTTTCGGCGTCCATGTAACTTCATAAATTTAAATTAGTAAATTGGTTCAGTTATAAGCTTTACAAAAACTCCAGCATACACTTTTTCACTAGATACTGTACATGCGTCAAAGTCATAATATCATCTGTACAGCAAATTTATAGAGGACAAGGCGGTTATCTGTAAGGACACTTAACAAGTCCTCGTAAATGAAATTATATAAAAACGTCCTCACGAAGCACATAGCATTCCGCCAACACATTCCCTGAAAGGTGTCCGAGTTGCAAAGAAGTTAGGATTTCTGGAGTTTTAGTAAATTTTTTAATGAATTTGGGGAAAAACCAGCTTTACCTTGTCTGTCTAAAGCCAGATAACATTTTCATATTTTCCATTTTTAGATAAAAAACTTCTCTGTGGTTTCAGATAGGACCGACTACCACTACGTATTCCTTTCTGCCGTATCGTTTCCTTCATAAATCGGACCATATCTTCATCACATTATCGCTTATTGTTAACCTGAGTAACATCTTCCGATTTCCGGCGTTGTTATCCGAATCGGGCGGAGGTATGGTTACTTTTTTCCGCGCTCGAAAAATCCGTTGCGGGCAGCTGGTAAAATTTAACTCAACACCTTGGTCCTCTTTTTTCTTCTCTTTCCTCTTCTTACACTTTCCTTCTCTTGCGCCCATTCTTTATGTTTAATTTAAAACTTTGCTATTCTTTTATTTGTTTTTGTGGGAAATTGGTACTGGCACATGTCAGGAGGGAGGAGATTCGTAATCAACCATCTGTTGGTGTTTGCTGTCATTCGAACTATACTTACCCAGCGACTTCTGCCTTTCACACGGAACGAATAT